AACACCAAAGGATAACACACAGAGAGACCTGGAAACAGACCTAGAGCTCCAGCTGCAGGCACGCCACCTCGCGTGGGGACCATATTAGGTCAAGTCTCCATACCTCCTACCCGGCCCCAGGGGACGTCAAGCGCATGGCCAAAGACATCGACCGCTGAAGCCTCTACGAAACCCATTCCAAACACCCCACACACCGTGACTGAGAAACAACCAGTGGAATTACTCAAACCCATTGGGAAGTCGAGCGTGCCACCCACAACGAACCCAGGTCACAGGAGGACCAACTCGATCATTTTGTTCAACGTCGATGTATCGACAGACTCATTGTTGGTCGAGAGGGAACGGTTTGACAGCCGAATGTGGACCGACTACTGTCAGATGCTGGGACTCCCTCCCCTCCCTGCAACTTTATGTCGCCTTTCTCGAGGAAGCCGTGCACCCCGAGATAAGCCACCCCCTTTACGTGTGTCCCTAAATACTGCCAAAGAGGCTGAAGACACACTCCTCCTCTCGCGACAACCGGACGTTGTTAATGCCTGTAAAATTCGGGCCAGGCCTGACAAGCCATGGTCAATAAGAGAGGAGGAGAGAAAGTCAGCGGTTGGAAATCCCAACAGAAACAACACTATAGTTGTACATGGGATTCCAGAATTGCCAAGTGACCGCTCGGTCAAAGATCGGTACTTTCACGACGTCCAACAATGGCAATGGCTCTCAACCAAAGTTGGTCTCAACAGTATACCGGCCAACAGCGTCAGTAGACTGCCAAGGCCAGCGCACCTGAAGACCATACCCAATCCCAGACTACTCGCCGTCCAGTTCGACTCATATGCCTCCCTCACAGACGTTCTACAGGCATGGTATAATGCGAAAGATCGCATGGGTGGCTCAATACGTATATGTGAAAGTAAGCCTAGACCCACAAGGCAAGAGGAGAGACGGCAACCACCAAGACCTCTGGAGTCAGTGGTCGTCACACAGGCGCTGACCAGTGAGTTAGATACATCAAGTAAAGAAGCCACCACTGCCACAGCCCCCACCCAAGTTAAAACAAAACACCAAAAACGGAACAATGCCAGTCCTATGAGGACTGGCGAGGGTAGACCCAACCACATAAGCGCTCATCCTGCGAAAATACACAACCAGACCTCCCCCTCACCAGGCACACTCTAATATGTATGTACAGCAACGTTAGGGGGCTAAGAGGGAAGGTAGCAGAAATGAGGACGCTGCGTGCACATCAGCACTCCGACATCATATTCATCACCGAATCCTGGCTCTCGTCGGACATCTCCGACGAAGAGATGCATGTTACTGGCATGGAACTCTTCCGCAGGGACAGGGAACATAGAGCAGCAGGAGGAGTGGCTATCTACGTAAACTCTTGTTTAAAGGCAAGGATGGTTAGCGATACGGCCTTAACCCAGCTCCCAGAGTCCCTATGGTGCTACTTCACTCTCCACAGTACCAAATACCTGCTCGGAGTCATATATCGGTCCCCCACCAGCTCCCCTACACATAAGGAAATGATCATCAAGGCTATCTTAACGACTTCCTCTGCAAATTACGATTCCGTAGTCATTGCCGGCGACTTCAACACCCCGTCCATCCTCTTCGAGACGGAAGGGAGACGCATCAGATCCTTCAATCAGAAGCTGAAGGATGCAATTAAGACTGCTGGCCTCTCAGAGAAAGTGGGTGATGCTACACGCTGGGGACCTAACGGAAACGCATCGCGCCTTGACTACGTTCTGACGAACGATGAACTTCTCATTGAGGATGTTTGCATCCAACCTCCCCTTGGCCTCAGTGACCACGCTGTAATCACCTTCTCCATGATAACTAGGGAGGCTCTGCAACTGGAGACGCCCAACACCTTCCCTTGCTACAGCAAGGCCAACTATGAGACCATGAGGGACTACCTCATGAATGCATCATGGCCAGTGGACTGGACTCATCTCACAATAGATGAACACTGGTTGGAGGTGAAGAAAATAATCACTGGGGCCATCAGTCACAGTGTACCAGAAGTAACACACAGACAATCAATGAGAACCTCATGGTTAAAGCGTGGGACAGAGAGGCTTATCCGGAGCAAGAAGCAGGCTTGGTTCAAGTGGCTTACATCACGCAGGGAGTCTGACTTCTTGAACTACAAAAGGATTCGCAATCTCTGTAACATTAGAGTGCGTAACGACAGATTTTCCTACCAAACAAACTTGGCAGCGAGGTTACAAAGCAACCCCAAAAACCTGTACCGCTTCATGTCAAGAAGAAAGTCGACCAGTAAGGGAGTGAATCTTGTCACAGGCCATGACGGGAGTGTGCTAAGCAGTCTAGAGATTGCCGAGCTTTTGAGCTCACACTTCCAAGCCCAACTCAGCACTGACACAAGATCCACACCGACTCGCCACGACACCGACCAGGTCGCAAATAACGAATACCTCTGTCACGTCTCTATTACAGAGAAAAAGGTGTTCGAGAAGCTATCTAGGCTACGTCCGGGCAAGTCCCCTGGCTGCGATAACCTGAAACCAGTGGTTCTGAAAAACTGCGCCGAGGTGCTTACCAAACCACTTCGCAACCTCTTTGAGCACTCAATAGACTCGTGCAAACTCCCTAAAGAATGGAAGAGTGCCATCTTGTCACCCATCTTCAAGGGAGGAGACAGAAAAAGCCCTGGCAGCTACAGGCCGATTGCCCTACTCCCTATTGTGTCGAAAGTGTTGGAAAGCCTGGTAGCTGACACCATCTGGGAATTCCTCAATAGGAAAACACTGTCCACACTGCTCAGCACGGCTTTCGTAGTGGTCGCTCATGTGCCACCAACTTACTAACTGCCTGGGACGACTGGACACAAAGCTGGGATAATAGAAAACCTGTACATGTTGTATTTCTCGACCTAGCCAAAGCATTTGACAGTGTCCCACCCACAGTACTGCTTCACAAGATCATGTCAGCTGGTATAAGTGGACCCCTACTCTCTTGGTTCAAGGAGTACCTGGAAGGGAGGCAGTTCTGCACTAAAGTGAACAGAATAAGGTCGGAGTGGAGACCCTGACGTCAGGAGTATCCCAAGGAGCAATCCTAGGACCGCTTCTGTTCCTCCCTTTGTCAACGATCTGCCAGACAAAATATCCTCACCCATCCTCCTCTTCGCTGACGACATAAAAATTTGGAGGGTGGTAAACGAAGAAGCCGATTGTGCAGCACTACAAAAGGACTTGCAGCAACTCGAGCTCTGGTCGTCGGAAAATGGCCTGAGCTTCAACCTGGAAAAGTGCAAAGTAATGCACATCAGTAAAAATGAGGCAAGTACGACCGACTTCCAGTACATGTTGAGCAACCGTGCTATCACCAGAGTGTCCATGGAGAAAGATTTGGGGCTCAACTTCTCCGACACCTTGGACACCAGCTCCAACTACAAAGGTATGACAACCAGAGCGAACGCCATTCTACACTTTCTGCGTAGACAGCTTGGCGCCCTCACTCCCGAACTCTTCCTCACCATTTTCAAATCCTACGTGCGGCCGCACCTAGAGGTCTTCAATACGGTGGCTCCTCCAACACTCAAGAGAGACTCTAATCTCCTTGAAAGAATACAAAGAACTGCAACAAAATCAGTTGTGGGGCTAAGGGGAAAGACGTATCCTGAAAGACTTAAACACCTCAACCTATTTACCTTGGGTTATCGCAGGAAAAGGGGTGACCTCATTATGGCATACAAGATCGCCCATCAGGCAGACCATGCAAACAAATCAATTTTGCCTGCAACTGAACGATCTTCACGAGGAAACCCCATTAAGATAGCACACCAGAGAGCCAACACCACACTCAGGTCCAAATTTTTCTCCCTAAGAGTATGTGCTTTATGGAATGCCTTACCGCGACACATCGTTATAGCTCCTTCAGTCGACTCTTTCAAGAGGCGATTAGACAGTTATGTCACCTCGCATGGACTACCACGGACGTACTCAGGTAGTCACCAACCTCAGTAGCCCCCACTCCCTCCTAACTACCACTCACTATCTCTCTCCTTAATACACCCACATTACCTACTAATTCTTCTGTAGGAACCAAACCCACGCGACCATTCGGGCAATTCCCAAATACTTTTCTTTCGTTCTCATTTCTCTTTTCACCCCTCCTTTTCTTCTCCTTCCCTTTTCTCTTCCCTTATTATTATTTTTTTCCTTTCCTCCCTTTTTTTATTCTCTCTTCATTCTTTACCACTACCTTACTATTCTCTTTCAGGTACCTACACAGACAGGAGTCACGGCAGTTCCCTAAACTTCCCAGCAGCCCGTAGCTCCCCAATCACTCTACAAATTACAACTTACTAACCCACAAAACATCCACCTCACCGAAGCTAAAAGCAAAAAGCAGAGGGGATTTCCTCGTCCACTGCAGGAGTGAACCGAACAACTCGAACCAAGCCCTAAGAACTAGTTGCGAGAGATCAAAAACTACCAGTTTTCTACGCTCGCACTATCAATATTGGATATCGGATATTGGTCACTTTGTCACTGGAATGTATTCAAACAAGCACTGATTCACTGTTCATTGAACAATTGAATCTGCTCTATTGTAAACCGAAAAATGTTGAGTGAAACCCACCGATAAGCACTATCCTATATTTTGTGCTTAAAATAGTTTACTTTATTTTCATAAATTACGGTACGTTGCGGTCAAAGTCAGATCACGTGTGGGTAGCTTGGAAGGACGAATGGTGTGACTCATCGTGCAGGCTGATTGAATATATGAGACCGGACTAGCACATTTTAGACCAATCACCTTCAAGGTCAGAGTCAAGGTTGAATAGACAGAATCACGTGATCAGCAAGACCATTAAAACCAGGCAGGTTATAACAAATTGGCGATGAGATTAACCCAGGAAAATATAATAAAATTATTGTTGAGTTAAATATATATAAAGGTAGAAAAAAGGTGTGTTTACAGTCGAAAAAATGTCGAATAAAATCATTTGGACAGTACTGTATTCAACATTTCTTTCTTCTTTTAACACTGACTTGAATCATACTGCTGATAAAATGGGTGTACAAATTCACTGGAACTAAGATGTTGACAGTATACTTCTGTTGGATAACTGTGTTTTTTTTCATAGAGTTGTAGATTTGCCTTTCAGATCCATGGACAAGATTAGGGAATTGTTGTCTATGGTGATTTTCATTAGCTAGACAATTGTATGTCAGTGTTTTGGCATAATTTGTTTCAATTTTGTTTAAATCTATAGCGGGAGTTGTTCTGTCGCAGGTTACCAGATCACTAAAAGATGAATGAGATTGTGGAATGTTAGAAGAGGTAATATTTGAACCTGATGACACTGTATTGTATGAATTAATGGTTGAAAGAGAATTTGGCCAACATTTTACAGAATCATTGATTATTGAAGTTTTAGTTACCGCTTCATTTGAATTGATCATGGTGTTTAAATCAACCGAGTTAGATGTAACAATCGATGTGGACACCAATGAATATGGCGATTGACTTGATGGAATGATGTAGTTAGTGCATGGATATGGATAAGAGATTGGCATTTGATGTAATGGTCGAGGTGGTATTGATACTGTTCCTGTTGACCATATCGGTGAAATTGACGATGTTGTATGATAATAATTGAATGAATCTTGTGGATTAATATTCACTGAGTAATTAGGATACCATGAATTGTAATTCTCACAATAATATGGGGGATAAACGCTGAGAGAAACAAACAAATATCAAGTCTTACTACTAGCTAGCAACTATTCAATAAGGCATATACTTAAAAGAACATAATATACAAGATCCATATAAGTGTAAAACTTGGCCACTGTGATAGAATATAATGCTATATTCAGCTTGTTTATTTGGTAATACAGTACATAGTATTAATTACTTGATCACGTTTCGGCCATAAATTATCATTGCTCATAATCATTCATGTCAATGTAATCAGACCACCCTCAACAATCGATTTTTATGGTCCTATCACCTGAGATTCTTCGTTTCTATTGGTAGTAAACTTTTCCATATCTCTGGTATAGGTGTTGCACAACTTCTAATACATGTGTTGAATGTTGGCTGATTCCATGACCAAACATTCAGTAATCAACATCCCTCTCTCTATCTCTCTCCACCTAGTTATATTCGACTGAAATACAGTAGTTTTATCCCACTCGTCACATTGTGTGGTTGTGTGTTGATGCATACATTGGAATAACCGAGTCATTTTTTCTAGATTATTGATCTCACTGGAGTATATCATCCTATATTCAGGTGAATTCATATGTTCCACTATACTAACGGACCCCAACCGGCTAGTTTGATCTATATACTTGACCCGACTTGCAGTCATTACATGGAATTTGATAGATTAAACTATTTTGCTTAATTGGTTTTATCAGATCCTTAAGCCAGGCGACAAAGTTTATCTCTGAGTGAGTTTACAGATTTGAATATCGCTTTAATTCCAGCCTCGTTGAGTATCCTACGTAAATATCAGGAGTGAAATATTGACACTGTAGTAGAATGTAATCATATTTCACTCTGTTTCTTACATGTATCACATAGTAGAACAGTAATATTTACAACCAGATAGTGTTTCGGACATAATTGGCTGTCCATAGAGATAACTACACAACTTTCAGACTAGCTTTATATCCTTCTAATTCTCTTGCCTTCTTCGAGATATGGGTAGTAGCATTTTTCATATGTTGTGAACAAATGCTGAGTCATTCCTATCACTATTCGTATTACCTGTTGATTTGATCAACAGTGATGATTTAGTTATCAATCTCTACCTGTTACAACCAGCCTATTGTGTGCTTGTGTATAATTGATTGCATAACTGTGACCCACATTCGCTCTAGCCTGTTCAACTTACGGGGACTTACCACTCTGCATTTACCTACATTTTTGTTCTCGGATAGCTTAATTAACCGATCCTGCTCCACTATTCTCATCCATGTCTATAACACTACCTATCGTCTACAGATAACCTTCACACTAGAATACGTACTCAGACTACAAATCGTCTCAGCCTCCTATGTCAGTTAAAGTTGGCTTAGTGAAGTGTCTGAGTAAGTGGCCAAACCAATTTACTAGTAAAACAGAAGATGTAAGACAAGAAATCAAACAGACGAAGGGCCGCTTTATTATTATTATTATTATTTGTCCCTTGGGTTCCTAGTGGAACATACGGATTCACTAGCACGTCTCCAATCCACTCTGCAGTTCTCTGAAATCTTTTCAACCTGGCTCCACAACTGCCCACAAACTTTCATTTCTCCCTCACACTATCTCCTCCATGTCACCTTCACCTCGGAAGCCCAACTTGTCGTTTCCCATCTGGGTTCCATTCGAGTACCTGGCCTGGCACGTAATGTCCCCAAACCATCCTCTTACTATATATATCCAATCCAACCCAATCCATCTCCACTTTCTTCTTCTGCATATCTGTTGGACGATAGCTTCTTGGTTGGTTCGTTGCCAGCCTACCAGACTGAGTTCCTTGTTGCTTATTCTTTCTGGTCATCTAATCTTCAGTAACCAGCGTAGGCGGCAGCTGTTCATGAATGTCTGTAGTTTTCATAACACACCAAGTCTCTCAACCATCACATACATGCACTGACTTACTTGACTGATATTAGTGTTGAAAAGACCACCTTACTCATCGATAGTTATTCTCCCAAAATAAATTGCCAAGTTCTGTTTGGAATCATCAGTTAAATATGACCAATATTAGTAACACAGATGCAGTAGCAATAATACTAGTATTAATGGTAATAATAGTGGGAATACTGTGAAGGGAGAATCCAAAGTCTCTACAGTATTACCATACAAGGAAGGCACCTTATAAACACTTCGTAGGAACCTGAATAAGGCTGGCTGGCTGGCTGGCTGGCTGGCTGGCTGGCTGGCTGGCTGGCTGGCTGGCTGGCTGGCTGGCTGGCTGGCTGGCTGGCTGGCTGGCTGGCTGGCTGGTTGGCTGGCTGGCTGGCTGGCTGGCTGGCTGGCTGGCTGGCTGGCTGGCTGGCTGGCTGGCTGGCTGGCTGGCTGGCTGGCTGGCTGGCTGGCTGGCTGGCTGGCTGGCTGGCTGGCTGGCTGGCTGGCTGGCTGGCTGGCTGGCTGGCTGGCTGGCTGGCTGGCTGGCTGGCTGGCTGGCTGGCTGGCTGGCTGGCTGGCTGGCTGGCTGGCTGGCTAAGGTTACAGCAAAATAGTTTAGTTAACCAAATTCCTTCCAACGATTGTGATGTCGAATACGTTGGTGAAAGTAACCGACCAGGGTCGGACATTTGGACTATCCAAGTACATAATTCGGTATTTTCTAGTAAGATAAGCATCCTAGAAGCTATAGGTATGCATGCAGTTACACACAACCACACCATAGGCTAGCCGGGACGGGGTGAAAATCCTTAAAACACACCTATCTTGGTTGAGGGGGCGGGAGAGATTGGTAACTGAATCTTTATTCATCGTATCAACACGCAAAACATACAGTAACAAGAATGATTCCACACCTATTCCGGAGCTTTGTACAGCCTCTAAATACAACAACAAAGAGAATGGTTTGTCTATGGGACCATGAGAATTTGATGTCGAATGTTGTATGATGGATGACATTGATATGACTATGAGCAAAACGTCAAAACGTCACCTAGTACATAATACTATATTACTCATTGTGTGTCATATCATCAAATAAACAAATGGAACATGAAATTACTTCAGTTTATCAGACATCAACTTCACCAAAATCTTGCATTTATGCCTCATGGTTAAGGTCAGTGATGTGATGATTTCGATTACCTTTTCGTTACAGGTTAGCCTGCACTGACGAGTGGTGATAAGGACAACACCTACCTGAAGTAACCACATGATATACTTGTCCTCAATATTCATTATAAAAAAAAGCATTTGTTGGTTATTAGTAGCCTTCTCAAATAGGGAAATAGGATATGATTGTTGCTTCTTCAAGGCAGTATTCATCAGTTTGAGAACCACTGGAAACTTGAGAACACTGGACATCTGTTTCTTCCGGATATGGGACTCCTCAGCAGTTCTCATCCAAGTTTTCATCCCCCAGCGATAGAACCCAGGATATTCAGATTCCGTGGCTAGTACGTTGCGATAGTACAGCCTTCATCCAATGCCATCGTTAATTAACAGGTCCTCATATCCGACTTAGCTGGATCCACAAGTCACCAATTAAGAAAACACCTATCAAAGCGATTCACCAATGAGGACCAGATTAATTCAACTCACGCAGCTATGGGGAGTTATTTATCGATTTCAGATAATCAGCTTGGTTATCATCTGATGATCGTTTAGTACAAATAATCTGATCCTTCATGGGATGTATTCTGGCACAAACGGTTTATTGATTAGGCGTCTGACTATTGTACTGAATAATCCAGGTTTAAATATCCAAGAAAATGATGAACATCTCCAAAGTGGTAGACGACTGCCTTTGATAAGAAAATCCTAAGTCCAGGTATCGCTAATGGATTGATTCGTTCCACTGGAATACAGTATCAAGTCACTTGGATTAGTGGTTACACAGTAAATTTGATCGGTGGATTTCGGTCAATGCTCATTACCATCTTGTCATTGATTCTCATAAGTTATCCATTTCTACAAAGGCATCGATCATGGCATGAAATCTCTAAATTCTTCAGTGAGCAAAACAAGTTCGAATCCTTAAGACACGATAGAAAGCCTTTTCTGATGACTAACAAAAGATGTGGAATGTAAGTCAAGTTATAACATCCAACACCCGAATACTTCGGTGGTAACGTCTCTAACTGTAACACTGGGTGACACAATTTTTAATTTCATACGGGACATTAGTTCCAGACGACTGCCTCCATCCAACTAATATATTATATTATTTATTATTTGTCCCTTGAGTTCCTAGTGGAACATAGGGCTTCAGTAACACGTCGCCATTCCAATCTCATCTCTGCAGTCTTGTCAACCTGGCTCCACCACTGCCCACAAGCTTTCATTTCTTCCTCACACGATCTCCTCTATGTCACTCTCGGACACCATCGCCCAATTCACCTTTTCCCATCGGGGTTCCACTCGACGGCCTGGTGCGTAATGTCCACAGTCGGTCTTCTCAGTGTATGCCCAATCAATATCCACTTCCTTCCAGTGCATATTTGTTGAGCGATAGGCTCTTGGTTGGTTGGTTGACAGGCCAGCCAGGGTTCCTTGTTGCCTATTCTTTCTGGCCATCCATCTGAGCTTCAGTATCCAGCCAGCATAGTCAGCAGCTGTTGATGAATGTCTGCAGTTTGTTGGAAATGCTTTATGGAAGGCGTCAAGTCTCTCAACCATCACATACAAGCACTGACTTACTTGACTAGATTGGTGTTGAAAATCCGGATGTTGTTCACGCTTTATGCTGAGTGCAGTGCAGTGCAGAAGATCTACACACTGGCTTCAGATTCATGAAAGCCCGTCTTGCTGTCTTTCCGATCCTGGCTGGTTCTGACATCCTCGTCTGTGCCGCCATATGTAGTTGAGACAGTGCTACCTTGCCTGGGTAGGTGAAAGAGACTACTTCCTTTAAGTTTCTCCCATTAATGGTGAGTGGAGCTTGATGTTGGTGGGGATGGTGCTGGTTAGATATCTTCATCACCTCTATCTTCTCTACGTTCATGTGAAGTCCCGTCTTCGATGCCCTCCCTGCTCTGTCAACTTGTTGGATTTTACCTATAGATCTTGAAGTTTGTGTCACAAGATACTAGACATAAATCATCACTGGCGAAATCCAAATCTTCTAGGATCGTTTCATCGGTCCAGCGTATGCCCCTCTTCTCGCTTCTCAGTGTTTGTCGCATGATCCAGTCCACTACAATCAGGACTATCATAGGTGTTAGTAGGCAGTCTTGTTTTATTTCTGTCTTCACTCCAAAAGCATCATTGAGCTTCCTATTGTGAATTACTTGACATGTGGCATCATCCAACTAATATATACATCTACGAAATCAATTAATATACTTCCTGTTCCACAAAATGATTCAGTTGTACAATAACAGCCACAACAAAAACTAACCATAACTATAGCCTACTGAAATTCATAGGTTACTAGATTACTGAGTTTTGAACTTTACAAGAATTTGACCTTTTTTTTCTGCTTCAACTAACCTTCTTGTGAAATTGTTGTTCCAAGTTGTTATTCATCGAAGACTGACATCAGTTGGAGAGGAACAAAGGAAACCTGGGAGCACTGGACAGCCGTTTCGTCCCACTTGTATGCGACTCGTCAGCAGTGCGTACCATGACCCCGCCCTCCAGGGATCGAACCCGTGACCTTCGGGTTCTGCAGCCAGCGCGTCACCATTGAGCTAGCCACTGGGTCAGAATCCAATCGCCCATATTTCCAACTTCTGTTAGCTCACGATATAGCGCAACCGCCACCCAATATCATCGTTGAGTATCTGTCCTCATGGCCATCAGGCTTTGACTCCACCGGTGACGACTTCTCATTGGAATTTCGGGAATACTTCTCGAAGCTAGTCACCAATGAGCACAGATACTCAGCGATGACATTGGGTGGCGGTTTGCGCTATATATCGTGGGCTAACAGAAGTTGGAAATATGGAGCATTGGATTCTGACCCAATGGCTAGCTCAATGGTAACGCGCTGGCCGAGGAACCTGAAGGTCGCGGGTTCGATCCCTGCTGGTGGGGTCGTGGGTGCGCATTGCTGAGGAGTCCCATACAAGTGGGACGAAACGGCTGTCCACTGCTCCCAGGTTTCCTTTGTTCCTTCAACTGATGTCAGTCTACGATGAATAATAACTTGAAATATTTCCAAATCTCCACAACTTTCTCAAAAATTGTTGTTCATTTCATCTCATATAGTTCATGTAATCACTATTTTATCGTTGAGTGAAAATATTCCTCAAATGGTCATAGTCTTGTTGGCTTTAAAATGGAATTTTACAACGGTAAATTTTCATAAAATAACACATAACTTTAAGAGGCGCATTGACCAATCAGACTTGTCTATTTTATTGTGTGAGAATACAGAAAGCTGATTGGTTATTTTATTGGTTGTTAAAGTAACCAATGGAATTACTTTAATATTACTTAAATTATTTTGGCGCTGAATACATATATACATATATTTATTATAGTAAAATAAAAATCTTACTCATATTTCATTTTATCATTACTATCTTTATATTCTTTTTTTTGTTTCATTCGTCTATTTTGAAACCAAATTTTTATTTGTCGCTCAGATAAACCAAGTTGTTCAGCTAATTCTAATCTTCTCGGTTGTCCAAGATAATTGGAATAATGAAATTCTTTTTCTAATTCAACTAATTGTAAATTTGTATAAGCTGATCTTGATCGTTTATTTGTTGATCCTGTAGATGTAACTAATGATATTGATTCTTTGTATAAATTGTTTTTTATTTCTTCTTCTGATATTTTAACTGATTGAGAATTTTCATAATTGCTAACTAATAACTCAGTGTTCAATGTAAGTGGATTGTCAATGTGTTCAGTAGCTTTTGGTTGATGTGTAGATTCTTTTGTATTGGTTGGTTTCATATATCCTTTAAATAAAAAATATATATATACAGAATTATTATCGTTTAATTAAAAAGGTATGATAATTTTATATCATCAGTTTGACTAGGTGAGATAGTCATGGTTTGGCAGACTAGTATTGATGGTGATAAACAAGGATGTCACAACCACCCTCTCTCTCTCTCTCTCTTCAAGTAGAATGGTTTTATCCCACCCCCACCCCTATTGTGTGGTTGCATGTTGATGCATGCACTGTAATAACCGAGTTCATTTCTAAATTGACCTTATTCTGAGATGTCATTCTATATTCAGCTTAATTCATATATCCCGCTAATCTAACTGACCTTGACCAGCTAGTTTCATCTATATACTTGACCTAACTAACAGTCATTACATGGGATTTAATAGATTAGATCGTTTTGCTTGATTGGTTCTATGGGGGTCCTTAAGCCAGGCGACAAAGCTTATCTTTGAGTGAGTTTGTAGGTTTAAATGTCACCGTAATTTCAGCTTTGTTAAGGATTCTACGTAAAGTTCCTCATGTTCCTTCCTTATAGGGTAATACAATAGAGGCTGTAAACTTCTTCCCACTCGTGTTGTCTTTATTATTCATACTCTTTGTTATTGTTATTATTTCGTATCTTATGTGTTCATACAAATTTGTTAATAAATTGGTTGAGAGGATAATTATTAACTATGCGTGGGCCTCCTTGTGAACCCACTGGATTCGAACCAATACCTTGTCATCCAAATGCGCTGATCACTAACGCGTATCTCCACAGTAAGGACCTACCAGCTGACTATCAGGATTCTTTCCAATGTGATGTGAGCAGTGCTCCATTACAAAGTAGAAGAATCCAACTTTCTAATTCCTCACCAAGTAAGGTAGTGTTTACCTTGCAAAGGTTACCACGGTGTTCGGTTCGGAATGCCCGTTTTTTATTCGCTGTAGCCAAAGCCTACTTCTCAGGCAGTCTAGAAGGAACTTCCACTTCTGAAATTTCAATGAGAAGAGGTTGTCAGCTTCTGCGACGAAGGTGTACTGCACTGCTTTCTATAAAATTGTGGGGACTCAGTGAGATGTATCCCATGCAACGTCTGACCACTGGGAGGAGAATGCGGTCAAGTGATCCAATTACCCAGTAAGTGAATTTCCTTTCACGTAACTTTAAAAGGCCAGGTTACAATATGTTCTCGTATGCGTGTTGACAGCAATCTCTGGCCACAGTTGATGTACTTTACTCTCCAGCAGCAGGTGAAGTGGAGGGATGAACCAAGTCTAACCTTCTTGTGCCAAAGAAGTACGTAAAGTCATTATCTCTACCTTGACTTTAATCTAATTTAGTCTTGGTTTGTTTCATTGGATTTGCTCTTTCTCTCGACTCTTACATTAACATTTCACATTTAATTAGCGCGTTCGTCATGAAATCTGAAGGTCCTGGGTTCGATCTGTAACCGCATTTTTACTCCGTACTGCTGAAGAGTCTTAAACTAGGAAGAAACAGGTGTCCAGTGCTGTCAGGTTTTCAATGGTTCATCAACTGGTATCATTTCATGATAAATACTTCTTCATAATCCTATGATTATGTAGTAATTTTACCATGTTCTTATTCCTTTGTAATCTATATACATCCCATGAAGGAATGAAAACTCTTACGTAACCTCCTTTATGTTTCGGATTCATCGATTATGTCATCATCAACTAGTAACGTGAATATAATTATAAAAATGATGACTCCATTTTTACTGAGTAATTAGATTTATCCCACAGTGACAGAATAATATTGTTGACTGGATTACATTTCGGTGGTGGGACTAAAAGTTATCCCCAGATGTTATAATATTTTGTGTGTGTTCGTAGGCATATATTTTGAAGGGAAAACTGCAGTTTGAAGTCTGACTTGACTTCTTTTCACTTGTGAGGACCATTCTTCATAAATGAATGTGTCGACATAGCAACTAGGAGGTAGAAGTGCAACCAATACTTTGCAAATGAATAAACGGGTATGAAACATTATTCAGTGATAGAGGAGGCTTAAGAAACTATAAAAATAGGTAAAATAAGCATACGGGATGCACAAAATGCGTGAATTTGCGCACAGAACGCTATATCTCATAATAAACACACCGCATTTCGGACATAATTTACGTTGTCCATAGTGGTTATATCAAGATAACTACACAACTTTGAGATATCCTTTATATAGTCCTAATTTCCTCTCCCCCTTTGTGATGACATGGACAGAAAGATTTTCGATATATCCGGAACAGGTATTGAGTCATTCTTATTGCATGGTGTTAGATGTTGATTCGATAAACAAAGATTTTTTTGAGGGAGTTGTAGAGATTTGGAAATATTTCAAGTTGTTATTCATCGTAGACTGACATCAGTTGGAGGGACAAAGGAAACCTGGGAGCACTGGACAGCTGTTTCGTCCCACTTGTATGGGACTCCTCCAACTGATGTCAGTCTATGATGAACAACAACTTGAAATATTTCCAAATCTCCACAACTCCCTCAAAAAAATTCAATTGAACTGGTGCTCATTGGTGACCAGCTTCGAGGAGTATTCGCTAAGTTCCAATGAGAGGTGGTGACCGGTAGAGTCAAAGCCTGATGGCCGTGAAGACAGATGCTCAACGATGACATTGGGTGGCGGTTGCGCTATATCGTGAGCTAACAGAAGTTGGAAATGTTGAGCATTGGATTGTGACCCAGTGGCTAGCTCAATGGTAACGCGCTGGTCGCGGAACCTGAAGATCACGGGTTCGATCCCTGGAGGGCGGGGTCATGGCACGCACTGCTGAGGAGTCCCATACTAGGACGAAACAGCTGTCCAATGCTCCCAGGTTTCCTATGTTCCTCCAACTGATGTCAGTCTGCAATGAATAACAACTTGAAATATTTCCAAATCTCCACAACCCCCTCAAAATTTAAAAAGGGAATTACATTCTATTACAGTGCATAAGTTTTACTCTTATACCCTAGTTTTAATTTATTTTTCGGATAAATATTTTCATTCTTTAAGTTGTTACAATGTTTTCATTTAATTGGATGTTAGTTATTAGAAATCAGTCATTTGAAAACTCTACTTTAAAGTTTCAACTGGTTACTTATTTAAAAGATAATTATATATAAGGTAGTTATTAATGGTTAAGCAAAAAAACTCTAAATCATCTCAGGTTTCGAACAAGCAACCCTTGAATTGTTTAGTTATTGACCAGTTTCTCTCTTTACTTTGATTATTCATACTTCTCTACATTTATCATATGATTACATAATGTATAATTGTGTATACATAATCATTGCACCCCATATGTAATCCATCAACACTTCTCATCTTAATCAAATTTAGCTTGAATTGTACCAATGTAGCATATAGAATTGACTACTGATTCAATTTTCTGAGAGAAACATTGTTCAATTTACTTGTATAGCTAATTGGAATAAAGATAACATCTAGGTAACGACAGGATTTCTATAGATCAATTCATAGAGTATGATATCAATTATCTAGACACTAGTGGTTCGAGTCTTTTCCTTTCAGAACATCAAGAAATAATAATTACTTTATTATCAATTTAACAAATAATTAGGGTGACCGAAAAAAAACTACTTCACCCTTCCCTTCCTCTAGTTTGTTCATTTCATTTCATTTTTTTTACCATGTCAACCTGAAATCATACGCATACACATTTCGTCCTGTTTAGGACTCACTGGTCAGCTGGATGTACATGGTTCCCAGTGAGTGATATTGTTCCCACTGGGACTCGGACTCAGGAGCGATCGTTTCAAACGCTAGAGCGTTATCCACTACATCACCGTGCTACAATAGCCACTTCTTGTGCTACGGGTATACTTTAAATGTTATTACTTGTATGCAACCGTTGTTGATTGGATCTAATTGATCCCTCTCTTGTTGGTATATGGGCTTCTGTGAAGATGATTCGATATTGCCTGCGTTTTTTAATTATGCATAGTAATGATGGGTAGTGGCTAGCAGTGGAATTCAGGATGAGCATTTCGTCCTATTTGCGAAAGGTTTGGGTATTGAGTAAATGATACTACTCATTAGATTGGTATTTATGTTTCCCAATGAATGCTGATAAGGGCTTTATGTAGGAGTAAAATTTGGTCACTGTGGTAGATTCTAATTCCATTTTAGTCTGTTTATTAGAAATGTCACATACAGTGAAGGAACACTTTGATTTACGGGATAACAACGTTTCTGACACAAGTTTTTGTTTTCCATATTCATATCGAGAAGGTAACTCCACAGCTTTGAGAAAGAATTTATATACTCCTCATTTTCTCTGCTTCTTTATGATGATAAGTGGAGTAGAATATTCTGTATATATCTGAAACATATCTGAAAAATTGTGTCGGAAACGTTGTTATCCCGTAAATGATACTTTCCCTTCACTGTATGTGACATCTCTAATAAACAGACTAACATGGTAACAGCTTTATTAATGTTATAGTAAACAGGAATTCACGATAAACCCTAAGTTTATATACATGATAACTTGACAAGTGTTCTTCTGCATGAGTGATTCTGCGTTGTCAGAATTGTACAATAAAGATGGCATCCATATAAAGTGTATCTTATGCAATGAGTGCATAAATTACAGATTGAGATTTGTATGTACACATGTGTTGATATTTCTGATTACCTGTGTATGTTGGTTATGTCAATATGTGGGGGTCAGTTGAGACCAGGTCAAACTACGTTCTACTCCCACATTCCTTCCTATTATCATTATTATTTGTCCCTTGGGTTCCTAGTGGAACATACGGATTCACTAGCACGTCTCTACTGCACTCTGCAGTTCTCTGAAATCTTTTCAACCTGGCTCCACAACTGTCCACAAGCTTTCATTTCTCCCTCACACTACCTCCCCCATGTCACCTTCACCTCGGAAGCCCAACTCGTCGTTTCCCATCTGGGTTCCACTCGAGTGCTTGGCTTGATGCGTGTTGTCCCTGAATAGTTTTCTCAGTGCATGCCCAATCCATCTCC